AGAAGAGCGAGAACAAGAAATCGAAAATCTGTTTGAAACAATAATGGCAGAAAACTTTCCTAACTTGGTGAAGGAAACAGACATACAAGTCCAGGAAGCACAGAGAGTCCCCAAAAAGATGAACCCCAAGAGGCCCACACCAAAACACATCATCATCAAAATGCAAAAGGTTCAAGACAGAGAGAATCTTAAAAGCAGCAAGAGAAAGGCAGCTAGTTACCTACAAGGGAGTTCCCATAAGGCTGTCAGCTGATTTCTCAAAAGAAACTTTGCAGGCCAGAAGGGAGTGGCAAGAAATATTCAGAGTGATGAAAAGTAAGAACCTGCAACCAAGATTACTCTGTCATGCAAAGCTGTCATTTAGAATCGATGGACATATAAAAACTTTCCCAGACAAGAAAAAGTTAAAGGAGTTCATCACTACCAAACCGTTATTATATGAAATGATGAAGGGTCTTTTTGAAGAAAAAGATAAAATGTATGAACAAACAAAATGGCAATAAATACTTATCTATCAACAATGGAATCTACAAACAAAATGAACAGGTAGAACAGAAACATTCTCATACAGAGAACATTTTGTTGGTTGCCAGTTGGGAGGGGGGTTGGGGGAATGGGTGAAAAAGGTGAAGGGATTAAGAAGTACAAATTCATTGCTAGACTGACAAAACTCAAAGGGAAAGGGGGTGGGGAGGTGGGAAGAAATAAAACAAAGAACTTATATGCATAACCAATGGACACAGACAATAGTGTGGGAAAAGGTGGGAGGGGGGTGGGAGTGGGGAGGAGGGGGTCAATGGGGGAAAAATGTGGAACATCTGTAATACATTTTACATCCAACAATAAAGATTACAAAAATAAAATAAAATAAAATAAAATAAAAAAAGAAAAAATGAAGGTCATGCCCTGCTGGTTTTGCTCAGCGGTTAGAGCATGGGCCTGTGGTCCAGAGAGACCCAGGTTGGGTTCCCACTGGGGGCACGTGCCTCGGTTACAGTTTGTCCCCGGCCCTGGTTGGTTGTGTGGGTGGCAGCCACTCGACGTGTCCCTTTTACGTCGATGTCTCTCTCCCTCTTCCTCTCTCTCCCTCCCACTCTGTCTGAACACAAAAAATGGAGAAATGTCCTTGATTGAGGATAAAAAAAAAAAAGAAAAGAAAATGAAGGTCATTCTCAACCATTAACTTTGATCAAAACACTTGGGGATCTGTGAAAAAGACAGATTCTCTGCCTTTTACCCTGAAAGGTTCTGCTTCAATGGGTCTAGGGTAGAGTTGAGAATCTGCATTTTCAGAAAGCTCCCAGGTGATTCTGATTCAGGTTGTTCAAAGACTGCATGCTAAGAAATACCAGGCTCGCCCTGCTGGTGTGGCTCAGTGGACTGAGCCTGTGCTATGGACTGAGAGGTCCCTTTTCGATGCCCGGTCAAGGCATATGCCCGGGGTTGTGGGCTTGATCCCTGGTAGGGGGTGTGCAGAAGGCAGCCGATCAATGTTTCTCTCACATCAATGTTTCTATCTCTATCTCCCTCTCCCTTTCTCTCTCTCTAAACAAAATCAATAAAAACATGTTTTTTAAAAAAAAGAGAAAAAGAAACACCAGGCTGGAGAAATATCAGGGTTATGTCACTTTCCTACAGAATTACAGGCAGATCTATGTGGTTCCAAGTTCAGGCTGAAATGCTATGTTGTGTCTTAAACATGTCTAAGTGAAGAGGCTGGATTGTATGCTTTACCCCCATCCCACAGATGGCCAGTTCAACCATGAGAGGGGAGAATGCAGGTGTGAGCCCATTCCCAGAAAATATTTTTTTAAGGAAATATGGCCAAGGAATTTGTATAAGTCATTGAGCTTGTTCTGGTCCTGGAAATTGATCAACATGAGCAAATTTTAATTTGCCTTCTGGTTTTAATGATTTGTATATTAATAACACGAAAACAATGTTTCATCTCCAACAGGGAAGCACAAGATTATTCTGAGAGAAAAAAATCAAACATGCTAGCAAAATGATTTAATGACACTTTTCCAATAAAGATGAACATCCTTCCTGAATTTATTTCATTCAAAAGACTTTCCAAATTTTTGGAACAGGAAGGATACAGCTGAGTAAACTTGGAGAAGTGTGAAGCGATGGCATGGAGTCCTGCTGGGGAATGTGCTTGTTTGGTTTGTGGGGTGTGTGTGGCATGAGAACGGGGTCTCAGTCTGATGAGCATGATTCCATTGCCTGGAATCAGAAATGACTCAGTAGGGTGCTTAAATGAGCTAGAATTTGTTTTCAAGGGGCTCTCTGGTCCTAGGACACTTGCCTTTATGATGCTTTCCTTCCCTGGAAGCTGCACTAAGTAAATAGTGCCTTGCTGGTCAGTTTATTTCACAATGTCCGGGGCACATGGCTCCGTGGAAGGCACTGACATTGACTTGGAGGTTGAAGACTATATTTAAGTTCCAGCCTGGCCCCTTACCAGGATTTTGTCCCTTTTAGCAAGGAGGTGACTTCTACGAGCCTTTGTTTCTTCATTTATAAAATATAAATAGTGACAAATTAATCTATAACATTCACAGGGCATGTGTGGCACCTCAGATAACATGTTGTAGGTATATATAAGTTTTATAAGTATTATATAATATACATGTATGAAATTTAAAAATAATGACCAATAATAGTGATGATACTTATAATAATTGTTATTGTGACAATATCCAGGAGAGTATTAATCTGTTCTTTCCTTCTCTGTGAATCGTAAACTAGAGATAAAACGTTCTCTCTTATGAAGCAGACTCCAAAACAGGTCATCATAATCCAAAAAGGAATAGCCATGGGAGTTTCGCATACATTTTATGGGAGGGAGAGTGGTTTATGCAATCTGACAGGGATAGTAGAGGTGGTGGGGTTCCCCAGGAGTGCTATTGTTAAGGGGTGTCTTTCAGATACCACTGCTCTTTATAGGTAGATGATGGCTTCCACTATCTCCAGGGAGCATGTGGGCAAGTGATGCGTTGGGCAGACACCAGCTTCAGGGAGAATGAGCAACTTTGGGCAGAAAATGAAGTAGCAGATCTTAACCAAGGTATATTTCATGCTGACACATTGATGGCTTTTGATTTCTATAAACATATATTCTGTTTTTACAAGGGACCAGGTAAAGGAGAGGTTGTGTAACTTACCAAATGAAATCTTTCCCAAAGTGGGCATACTTTGTAAGCAATTTTTATGAGTGGGAAGAATGTAAATTTCAAGTAAAACTGTAAAACCATAGAGTTCAGTGACCCAATTTCCTAAGGATATTGGAAATTTTAATAATAAAAAATTACTAGGTGAGGGTGCTTACATTTCTATAAGCTATGGTTACTGCAATTAGATGCAGTAATGGTGGTACGTGGTAGTGTGTTGTGTGAGCATGTGTGTGTGTGTGACCTGGGCATGTGCAAAACTGAGGCCCAGGAAAATCACAGCAACCCTGTGTACTTTTACAGTATTAGACTCAAAAGATAACATTGAGTATTTTTAACATTGCTTCTTTTAAAATTCAGTTTTTAAAGATTTACACCATGAAAGTAATTTAAATAGAAAAAAAAACACCTTAAAGCTTCCAGTTTTTTCTCTTTTCCCTCATGTCTGTATTAATTTTTCACTAGTGTTGTATCATTAATACTTCACTTATTTCTTTACTGTTTATAAAACCATCGTTTAAGATGGCAACACAATATTTGAAGGTTTCTATCCTCTCTCTTAGGTCTGCCCTCACTTCTGCAAAGTGAGGAGGTGTGAATGGAAATGTCCCAGGGGTCTATCATCATCTTCAAAGGCTTCTCCTTTTTGGCCCCTCCTGGGAGGTCATTAGGCCATCTTGTCTCCTCTGTCAGTTTTATCACACTCCTTCCTGACCCACTGTTATCCCGCAGGCCATCCGATGCTGTAGGATCCTGAGACTCAGATAAGCCTGTGTAGTAGTGGTGGCAGAGGTGGGTGAGGTCCCATCTGATTCACGATGTTTTCAATAATAAAAACGGGGCACCAGGCCCCATTTATCACCTCTCCCTTTGTGTTTACCTTGGGAGAGTGGTGAGGGGGACCTGGGTCTGGATTCCACTGAGACTTTATTAAGAGAGAAAATAAATCTCTAATGTTTAATTTCCAAAGATATCCCCAAATGAATCAAGAGCAAACATGGAGGTCCGAGCACATTACATATTTTAGTCTATAGTGAGGACACAGGGCATGGCATAGCATGAGGGGAGTTGCAGTTAGAGAAGGGGCAGGAGGAAAACTTCTCTCTGCTAGGTGAAGAGCTAAGCTGTGCATGTCTGGTCTCTGCCAACATTCTAGGCGTGAGATGAGGAGCATGAGGCAAGGAGGCTGAAGACATACAGGTACAGGAGTTCTTGCCTCACTTCTCAGGAAATCGATGTTATCACAGTGAACCCCACAGTCAATATAATGCTGGGGCAAGATGGTACCAGACACCTCTAGATTAGATGCAGGGAGATATCCAGGGCATGGGCCCGAGATAGTCCTTGTTATGGACTCTCATGGTTTCCATTGAGCAGGCAGAAGCTTGGAATCTGCACGAGGAGACTTAAGAGGGGTCTTTATGACTGAAAGCAAATGCTGTGGAACACAGGAACAAATAACCACAAAGTATTCCCAAGAGACCAAGGAAAATGAACCATACATTAGTGGAGACCAGCGCAGAGCCCAAACTGGAGTAGCTGCCCACATCAGAGGCCAGTGATCCTCAGAGAACAGCATGGGGACCAGATGTCCTCACCCTGCTGCCATGATATTCTGTACACTTCCTCTGTGGACAGATACCACCTAGTGAGCTCCCCAACATTCTGGTTGTGCATGTTTTTTACTACACTAATATTATTGGAGTAAGTATATCTTTTCTCAAAGTGAATATTTGGAGTGTGACTCTATTCACTCAGATTTATAGATATTGCTATGTTTGTCGAAATGACTGTTGCTCTGTTTTGGTCATACTTGATATTACTTACCTGATTCTCTTTCAGTGTTATCTGCCCCTGTTCCTTACACCCAATGAAGGTTCTAACACATCTAAAAATCTTCTCATTTTGTTGTACTCTCTGAACAAAGTTGGCTGGAAAGAAGCCAATCCTGTCTTGAATTTTCCCCTGAAAGGAAAAAGGAGGCATGCATCCACAATTCACTGAATTATAGTAACCAAATGATTTTTGTTTTTTTTTTAAGAAAGAGAGGTACTTACTTTCCACCAGTCTTCGTTGGAATCTTCTAGAAGAGTAATCATGTCTCCTGGTCTAAAACAAAGAGTGAATGAGTTGAGTGAGGAAGCAGAGGGGGATAAAACAACAACAACATGATACTTAACAATTAGAAGTAACAGTTTTTCATTTATACAAATAATCCTAAAATAAATAGAATAAAATAAACATGACTTTTACCAGTTCTTCCCACCCATGAAAATAGCTTTGTTGCATATTGAAAGCAAGTATAATTTCTATGCTATATTAAAAAAAATAATCCTTAGCTTTATTTTTATACAGAGATAATCATATTTGCATTGTTAAAAATGCCAAAATTTGGATGGCGGTCAGTTTCAAGGTGCAAGCTGCCCTTCATATTCTGCCCTACAATCCCCTCTCATTGCCCGGAGGAGAACACTGTTAATGGTTTCCCGTGTTTCCGCCTATACCCTTTCCATATGGTTGCATTTATAGGTAGATACGTACAGGTATTTTGATTTTTCTTTTGTTTACTATTGATATCTAAAATTAGTCATTATCATACTCATCATATTTTCTCAGTCCCTTCTTGAAACTTATTATACTTTTGCTTAGCTCTACTTTCCTGGCCTACCACCTTTTATGTGGGTATAATTTGGAATTTTGTTTTAGGCTTGTGTGTGTGTTACATCATTCATGAAGAATTACTTGAGTTTAACTGAAGACTTACATGCTTGTGTTGATGTGGTGGTGATTTGCCATGTCTTGTTTGATTTTCATATCCTCATGTTTGGATGTGTGGATGTGTGTTTTAATTCCTTTTACACATTGTCATTTCTGCCTCATTTTATTGGGCAAAGCTAGTCATGCAACCAGCTCAGACTCAGGGACAGGGTAATAGGCGCCACATCTGTGGTAAGAGGAATTGCAAAATCTCATGGCAAAGGGCATGGATACAGGTTGGGGCGAAGACTTCGGGTCTTTCATGTCTTGATTAGCCACCAGAGACACCTCATGCTCTTCAGTAAATTTGCTGTGAGTTCAGTGTCTCTTTGTGCTCTTATGTCTAAAGTTGTTTGTCTCTGAGTATTTTTTGGTCTCTGGTCATCTTCATTGTTCTCAACTCGTTTCTATTTCTTAGGCTGCCAGGAAACTCCCCAAATTTTGGGGTCTCTGATAGCATTATTTCTTGTTTTCTAGTACTGTTATGGACGCATTCTTTAAAAAAAATTTTTTTCTGACATCATAAGGGATTATAGAAAGAGGGGAAGTAGATTTGTGTGCTCATTTTACTCTTCTGATTCAATCTCCTCTGCCGTCATCTTTAATTTTCAGTTAATATTTATCTCCAAATAGAACAGGCTTGTTGCACCTGAAACATTAAACACAACTGGCATTTTCGTAGTTCAACAGTCCCCATTTCACGCTGATGCCACAGCAGCAAGGTGGCTGAAAATTACTCTTTTCCCAGATGAGAGATTTAATTAAGCTGCGAGGATGAAAGTCAATGTAGAAACATCTTTCTAGCTCCAGCAGATTTTATTTAACCTAATAACCTGAGAAACCATGTGTTAGCATCAACTACAAAGACTTTGCTGATGGTTCGGTAGAAACTTCAAATAGAAAATGGAACTGGAGCTTGGGGGAGCACCTTTTCCTAAGGGTGCAAGAGAATGCTGCCTAAATCCAACCTCTGTTTTTCCAGTCTAGCTAGAGACTCATTCTTTCCTGTGCCCAGAGGTGGACTGTCCCTGCATGCATGACCCATGGTAACCAAACTACACACTGGAATAAGGCACTCCCTGGAACACAAGTTATAATTTTATGAGAAATACCAGACATACTCCTGACATTGTGATGGGGATTCTTTCTTTTCCTAAAAAAGGGCTCCACCAGAATCAGAAAATTGCTTGGTGAGTAAGGAGAGTTACATTCATCCACTTTTTCTTTCTTTTCGTTTTTTTTTCACCTACTCTTTTTAACAAATGTTCTAGAATGCTGATTCTGAAAGAACCATTTTACTAGGCACGGGCTATATTCTGGTGACTAGAGTCCCACTGGAGCTAATATTCTAGTGAAAAGATGGATAATAAACAAGCACATACATATATAGTAAAACACTTCAATAAATATGTAAATGATAAATATGTAATTTGTATAATTGCAAATTGTCTTAAAGGCAATGAAGGAAATAAACAGGATGCAGCTGTAAAGAAGAGTAGACTCCTGGTACTAGTCCCTGCTCCAGTCATCTGGTGGAGCTCATGCCTCTTTCTCACTGTGGGGCAGCCCTTCAGTCCAAGGCAGCAGCTCTCTGACATCTGGGTCAGCGTGGGAGTTGTGCTCCCCACCCCCCTGCCTGGCATCACCCATCAGTCTCAGCAGGCTCCATGCTGAGGCTGCACTCGGAAACTTTCCTGACACTGGGCTCCGAGCAGTGGATCTGAGTAGGCATGCAAGATAAAACCGCCCTGTGTAATATAAAGTTTATAATTTATTTTTTAAAATGTGTCTTGACCCAGTTTTGAAACTCTGGGTAGGGACTATAGAGTTCCGCTTAAGGACCTGATTAAGTCAACACCCCAACCACTTGCCTTCGGGCTCTCAAGCTCCAGCCACTGTGCGCCACCCCCAGCCCTAATTGCACTGGGGGCCAGGTATCAGCCAACCAGGCAGAGCTCTTGGGCCTTGGAACCTGTGAAATTATTCAAATTAGCTAATAACAGGGAGCCTGGGAAATTAGATCTAGTGATTATTACTTTTTAATTGAGTGTCCTCTTAGGTTTTGGGAGGGACAGTTGGTTAATGGAATAGACTTTGAACTCTTAAGTGGCTTCAGACATTAATCTCTGGGGGGTGATTCAGAACTTCAGAACAGCTCTTCCCTCTCTTTACATCCCCCAGACCTGTTTCCCCTCCACTGTAGGTGATGCTGATACAGGTATGGGAAGGCTTGGGGGCCCACCACCCAGGACCTGATTACAATAAAGAGGCTGAAAAGAAGTCCCAGAGACGTGGAAGTGGGGTACAGACTGACAATCCCCAGAAGAGGGGGTGGTGGGGAAGAGATAAACCACAGAACTTATATACATGTGTGCATGAACAATAGACATGGACAACAAAGCTGGGGACAAGGCAGGGGGGGAAGGGGGGAATCAGTGGGGGAAAAAGGAGAAACATCTGTAACACAAATAAATAATTAATCATAATAATAAAAAAAGAGGCTGAAAAGAGGGAGGAGGAACCCCAAATAGACTGGAGGGGGCAGCAATGTTCACTGAGTGAGGTGGGCATGACATGTTGCATTTTCACACGGGAAAGAAGGTTCAGAGATACTTCTCCACTAATAGTCAGGATTTGAACCCACTACTGACACTGCTAGATCAAGCTGACTCTTGTACTACTCAAGCCTTGGGAGAACTCGTCAGAACCGCCCATTTTACTCTGCAAGTACTTTGAGATATCTTTACTGTTTCTCACTCTGCCCCATTCATTAGGCAAAAAGAACCCCAAATGAAGCTTACAGCAACCATGGTCACTCAGCCAAAACAGATGTCCTGGAAGAAACAGCCTAAGGGGAACAGAAAAATGAGCTCGCCGAACCGCTCCATTAATTTTAGATTTGCTTCATTTTTTGCCAGACCCGTTTCTCAATTTCCGTACTTTTGGTCCAGAGCCTCGCACAGTCTGAGGACACGGGTAGGTAGCGAGGAACTCTGGAACGATGCAGTATGATTTTGTTTTAAGACTGATATCTGCTTGCAGTGTCCCCAGCTCAGAGAAGCAGCGTGCAGCTGAAGGGCCCTTTGGGTGGGAGCTGGTTGGTGAACGTTCCTGAACTGTCACGGATCATGCTCCCCGGAACCTAATTCAAAGAGGCATTCGAGTGCGAGGGAGGCTGCTAAACACATTAGTGACATTCGGGAAGATCTGGGTTTCTTGACACAGTGCAGCATCAGAACGTAATATGCATCAGAGACTTTCCTCAAATAGCCTTAATTACATTTTGATGTCCTGGTGACTGTGAAGATTATTTTTAAATCAAATTGGTGCATTAGGATTACATTTAGTTTTAATTAAGTTGATGCATTTGCCAAGCGGTAATGTACTTAGAGAATGGAAATGAGACACCAAGGGAGTCTTCTTCTGTCTTACTCTGTCTTAAGGGCTCTCCTGTTTTTATTTTATGGCAGGTGTATAAAGCTTTACAGAGTGAAGGACACCGTCTTATAAGTTACGGGACCAAAATCCAGTGAAGACCAGTGTACTGAGCCTCAGGACTGAGAATCAGGAAGCCTGCATTCTGGTTTAGGGTCTGCCACTGACCCACTGTGTATTTTTGGATATGTCCCAGTTGTTCTCAAATCTGGAAGATAATTAGAATCTAGGGAAACATTTAACATACATATTTCCAAATGGGATTTGACCCTCTAGGCTTGGGTGGAGCCCAGCAATCTCTATTTTAATAATATTTTCCAGGAGATTCTTATGGTTCATTAACAAGTGTGAACCATCTTAACCATAGGGCCCTCCTCTGTAAAATACTACTTGCATGGGTAACCCAACAGATTTGCTCAAAGAACACAAGGGGGTGTCAGGGAAAATTGTGAAAGACTTTGAAATGGGCAAAAAAGATTACTGTTCTGGGTGTCTAGCTCACCTTCCCGGGTCATCCTCTCCCCCTCTCCCCTCAGTGTCGTTGAGCTATTGTTTTTCATCACTGCAAGTTGTACAAAACTGATGATAATGCAAATGACTCTTGTCCACAGAAATGCGAGTGAATTGTGCCCGGTGGAATGTGATCAATTTTACCTGTGACTGTGGACCCGTTTTGCACATATTTGTGAATTCACATCAGCACTCCGGATTGCCTACACGCGTGTGACACTTGAATGCTCCTTTGAACCAGATGTGACTTATTACTGGTTCTCTCATTAATCAATGAGCCTAATAAAATTTTTGATATGTGTTCATTTTATATTTGTATAAGAGTCAGGCTTTTATCTTAATTTAAAAAAATTATCCTTGAACAGGAGTGACTTTTCATGAACACATTCTATAGATCCCAAACTTCC